AAACAAACACCAACACTTCACAGATAAAAAGTTCAGGCAACTTTCGTTACGAAATTGTGTTCTCTGAAGGAATATAGCTATCACATAATTTCTTCACTACACTTCACTATTTTGCTACAGGAGGGTTTGCAAGACATTATGAAAAACTGACCTTGCTCAGGCACCCAGTGAAAAGCACACGGCTTTCATGTATTTCAAGCCACGTTACTCCCCACTGCATAGGGAACTTGTATACTTCTCATTCTAAGGGCTCTCCATCAAAAAGAAAAATTGAATTCTGAAACATTTGCATTCAGCAACTCTGAGTTCTTCATGGTAGCCTGCAGGATTCACTAACAGTATTTGCTAAACCATGAGGCAAGCTTCCCACATTAAATTAAGTTGCAATGTAAATAAGAACGCAATGGGCAAAGTTCATTTTTAGTAAAGTTCTACTAAGCTCACATGTATACCACCCAGTGAATTTGGGCTTACTAGTTTTTGTTCTGCTAAAAATCAGCTTGGACCATTATTTTCAAAGGTCTCTTTGCAAATATATAACAGGATTTTTTTGCACTTAGCTGATTTAGTCTGTATTTTGCCCTTAGATCTCTAGTCTAATTTATGGGTGTTGTGAAAGGTAACCTCTGATTTCCCAAGCATGCTGGATTCTTAGGATGCGTTTTGGACAATGTGGATATTAGCATGCATCAACTTCTGTCTCTGTCTTTGGTTAGCATTTTAGATAATGCACAATAAAACCACTCTTTTCCTTCCATTAAATGATCTGAAATAACTTCTTCGTTGCTTGAGTATGTTAGAGAAAATAACAAGACAGAAAAGCAAAATTCCTTTACATGTTGTACTGCAGAACCACACAAACAAAGAAACCAATAAAAATTATCACAGCACAAAAATGTAATTCAATGTTCTTCTTTTATTTGGGTCTCCACCCACGGTGTAAACACACACTGAGGCATTCATTTATCTCTACAAATCTCTAGCCTTACTATTACAATAATTAAATCCAGACTTAAAACTCTGACCCAAGTGTTTTTTAAAAGAAAACTCTGAGATATTTTTTTCTATTTCTGTTTCTAATTATACTAATCCATACAAATGCTAGTAGTTTTACGGTGAAGGACAATGGCTGGAGCAGTCTTCTTTAAAGGCATCTCACAACAAGACATTCCACTGGTCATGTCACTGAGCTATAATTTTCCAGTTCTGTTTTGTACCATGCATATACACCTTTCAATTTTACCTTTTACATAAAAAAGAATTTTATGAAACAGGATAAAAATAACTTATGATTATATGAAAAAATAACTGTAACAAATCACAAAATTATACATACTAGTAGAGAAAAAAGTGTAACTAATTTTTTTGAAAATTTATTTTTCGTGGTATGCAACAGATACGTCTTTAGAGTGAATATCAGCCAGATATACAGTATGGCAAATGGAGTTCATATGTGTATATATAAGCATGTATAAATATGTAAAATGTTCTGTAAGATTTAGGAAAAACATACTCCCACTTTCTCTCCTCACCAAAGTGCTTTGTGTAAAAAATATCACACAAGATGCTGCTTTCTGTACAGAATAAAGGGATTATTTTTTTTTCTTAAATAAAACCCCTCTCAGCTCATTTTAAATTGTGATCTTCTTCTTTTGATTTATCTGTTCCTAGGAAATAGTTCAAAAAAAAATTCACACAAACAACAAAAAAGTGCTGTTTAAAAAAATCTGCTATAAAATTACACAGGGAAAACAGGGAATAAACAGTTAAAACGAAATTTTTATACTCATTCACACCTCTTCAAAGAAAGTTGAAAACAAAATACAATGTGACAGATGGCCTTAGCACTGCAATACTTCAGCATCTGGTATTAGTAAACCATAATGCCTGTATGTATGTGTGTATATATACACGTATATATAGACATAGAAAGGGAGATCCAAATACACACATGCACTCTCATACACTCACACATGTACCCATGTGCTTTGAAACTATACTTTAAACTCCAGTGTAGACCCATTTCTAATGCAGATATAAATAGACCATTTGAGTCTGAAAACAAGAGAATTGTAAAAAAGAATGATTGTAAATAATTTCATTAGAATTTTGTTTAATGTCCATAGTCTAAAATAACTTCATCTCTTAGATATGAATCCCTTTACAAATTTAACAATCCAGCAAGTAGAATAACAACACAAAAATCACTGAGGCATAAGTATTTGCATATGTCAGTAATTAGCATTATGCTATGTATTTTCACAAGCACCATTTTTCATTGTAACCTGCGACAAACATGATTCCTTATTTAAATATCTAAAATACATGAGAGAAAATGTTTTTTTTTTCTATACAATTGCCCTCAGTGATATAAGCTGATCCCCTAAAGTCAGTCTGACTCCAAAGAGAATAATGAAATAATCATGAAGAATCCTCTTTGTCTCTGGTACAGATGTAAACAAAGGCATACCTTTTCAAAGACTGGTAGCCCACTCTCATGTGCTTAATTTGACTGTACTCTTATCTTCAACTTTTTAAGATTAAGGCTCACAGAAAGCTGTAAATATACACATTTTATATATATATATATACAAAAGAATGAATGAATGACTCGCAAAAGTTTCCTTTTTTAAATGTGACTGATGAACCCCTAAATTATGAATATCCTTTCTAAATTTTTATTCCCACTTTCCCTTTGGTCAGGATCTTTCATGATGTATAAGCCCCTTCTCTACTGGACAGCTTGTACATTCAGATACAAGAAAAAAAAATTCATATGATTTAAAAGTCAAGGTGGTACAGATCTGAAGTCGGCAGCAATGTTTCAGGTTTGTACACAGCAACTGACATTCTGGACAACCATATGGTTAAAAGAACCTTGAAGGATTTATGTATGTATGTATGTACATACACATGCGTATGTACATACCAGGCCTGATCCTGCCCTTACTGATTTGGTGGAATGAAACATAGTCCTACACATTTGAAATTGAAGTGTTTACTGTGCATAATTACTCCTG